AGTTAATTTACACACGTTCTTTACAAAAATACAAGTGATCCAATTTTGCTAACTTTTTCTGTGATTATAAGGGGCTGTCAATAGTGTGCTATATGGAAAATATTTTTGAAAAGAATATATTTACTTACTGTCCCTGAAAGAAAAGGTGATGTCAACATGACTGAGAAAAAGAAATGCCAGAGGATCTTAAACATATGAAAAGATGCTCAACTTTGTTTAAAATTAAAAAGAAAAACACAGCCAACTACATAGAACACCATTTCTCAAATATATGATTAGAAACAAAGCAAAAGCCCTTCGGCTTCCCTGCTGGGGAGGAAGTGAAGGGCCTGATCTCTGCACTTCGCAGTTGACATTGCTGGTGGGCATGGAAAGCCCACCATCACTAAGAGGGGAATTTGGAAACAGTAAAAGAAACATTTTCCCTTTGGTGCAGTAACCCGTCTTCTAGTGAGCAGATCTCAGTAATACTCTGACAACAATATGAAAACATGGGTGCACACAAATCTATTAGTTGTAGCAATATTTATAGTAAAAAATGAAAACTGGCCAGGCGTGGTGGCTCACGCCTGTAATCCCAGCACTTTTAGAGGCTGAGGCCGGTGGATCACCTGAGGTCAGGAGTTCAAGACCAGCCTGGCCAACATGGTGAAACCTCGTCTCCACTAAAGATACGAAAATTAGCCAGGCATAGTGGCGCATGCCTGTAATTCCAGCTACTGGGGTTGGGAGGGTAGGGGGCTGAGGCAGGAGGATGGCTTGAATCTGGGAGATGGGAGGTTGCAGTGAACTGAGATTGTGCCACTGCATGCCAGCCTGGGCAACACAGTGAAACTCTGTCTCAAAAAAAAAAAAAAAAACCTTAGTGTTCACTAATAAGCAAAAAGTAAGGTATACCTACATAAAGGAATTCAATGATGCTATACATTTTTAAATGGAAGAAAATACCTAGATCAGACTAGGAAATGATCGAGGCAGGTGGATCACGAGGTCAGGAGATCGAGACCATCCTGGTCAACATGGTGAAACCCCTTCTCTACTAAAAATGCAAAAAATTAGCTGGGCATGGTGGTGCGTGCCTGTAATCCCAGCTACTCGGGAGACTGAGGCAGGAGAATTGCCTGAACCCAGGAGGTGGAGGTTGCGGTGAGCCGAGATCGCGCCATTGCACTCTAGCCTGGGTTAGTTACAGTGAAAATTCTGTCTCAAAAAAAAAAAAAAATTATATATATATATGCTGTAGAGTGAAAAAAGCAAGATGAAGAAAAATGTGCATAATCTACTTTTTACTTAAGAAGGTAACACATCTATATAGTTCAACATCGATATCACCTATAGTTTACCTATTTTGAAAATAGGTGATTGTTTTTAATAAAGGTTTACCTTTGAGAGAAAAGATATATTGAAGAGAATGCAGATAAAAGATATACTTGTTAGAATACAGCATGTTTTGTAGCTTTAGCTTTGGAATAACAGAAATATTTTACATATTATAAAAGCAAAATAAATGTAAAAGCGATGAAAGTCCAGGCGTGGTGGCTCATGTCTGTAATCCCAGCACTTTGGGAGGCCAAGGTGGGATCACCTGAGGTCAGGAGTTTGAGACCAGCCTGGCTAACATGGCAAAATCCTGTCTCTACTAAAAATACAAACATTAGCAGGGTATGGTGGCATGCACCTATAGTCCCAGTTACTTGGGAAGCAGAAGCAGGAGAGTCGCTTGAACCCAGAAGCATGAGGTTGCAGGGAGCTAAGATTACATCACTGCACTCCAGCTTGGGTGACAGAGCAAGACTTTATCTCAACAAAATTAAATTAAAAAAATAAAAGCAACGAGAAATATGCATTCAATTGATGACATAACTATACATTAACTTATATGAGTTTTTATATCCCTATAAGGATATACCCTAATGACAAACTGTAAAAATCTTAACATTGTTTTCAGTAATCACACTTGGGTGATGTGTTGATACTGTAATACTGATACTATTGTGGGTGCATTCTAAAGTTAGGCAAATGAGTAGTTTTGTTGGTATGACTCAGTAACAGAATTTTTGCTAAGAGTGAAAGAAACAACAGTTGTAACACTGGTGACTTCTCCATGAAAATCTGATAACACTGGATTTGAACTGAAAATGTTACTGTAACTAATATTGCAGTGTTTACTTAAAACAATGTCTCCTAGCTTGCTTAACTCGGCCTAGAAACACTAACCAATACTGTGACAATGAGTATCCAGGCACCAAGACTTCTAGATACTATTTCCTACTAAAGGGAGCCAGAGCTCCTGAGAAAAATGGCTGACTACAGGTTGTTGGGCAAGAATTACAAGAAAGGTATAGAACATCTTGTTACACTACACACCCTGACTAATGGGTGCAGGAAGGTTCACTGCAGTATTTTTTCTTACTTTTATGTGTTTGACATTGTCTAAAATAAAAAGACACACTTTAAAAGAAAATGAGTTCAAAATGAACTGATAACTAAGACAGAGTATAAAGAAAAGACTTGGCCGGGCGCGGTGGCTCAAGCCTGTAATCCCAGCACTTTGGGAGGCCGAGGCGGGTGGATCACAAGGTCGAGAGATCAAGACCATCCTGGTCAACATGGTGAAACCCCGTCTCTACTAAAAATACAAAAAAATTAGCTGGGCATGGTGGCACGTGCAGGTAATCCCAGCTACTCAGGAGGCTGAGGCAGGAGAATTGCCTGAGCCCAGGAGGCAGAGGTTGCGGTGAGCCGAGATCGCGCCATTGCACTCCAGCCTGGGTAACAAGAGCGAAACTCCGTCTCAAAAAAAAAAAAAAAAAAAAAAAAAAAAAAAAGAAAAGACTTGAAAATCTATGTTTAGAAATGTTTCCATTGTCTACGGCTTCGTGAAGGAAGAAGGTTTACCAAAACAAAATTGTTGCATTAAAAGCACTGCAGTTTTCCAATCTGTAAATAATCACTTTGCTGGATTTTGAATGCTTTTGTTTACGATAAAGGCACAATAACTTTCAAAAACAGGTTTTCCTTATAATACATTAACATATATTACATGAATCTTAATTTTTAAAATTATTACTTTATCGGTAGATATGCTTGAAAATGAGAATCATAATTTACAAAGTCAGCAAAGCAACTAGTTTATTCCATTTGGATTTTTTAATCATTTCGAGGTATATTTTTTCGCTATGATTGACATTAAAACTAAGTCTTGAAATAAACTGAACTTAAAACTTCACTGTTGAGTCAAGGTATCTCATAATTTCAAATTAAGTTTTCAAGAATTAATGACATGTATTTAATCACATTGCAGTCATTTACATATAGAGAGAGGTAGTAACTTTACTTCATTGCAGGTACATAAATTACCTCAAAGCAAATCAATGTAAATATAAGAGGTAAGCTCTTGGAAGAAAATATCAAAGTGAATTGTCATGATCTCAGGTATGGCAATGGAGCATTTTATTTGACACCAAAAGCATTAGCAACAACAACAACAAAAACAGATAAACTGGATTTCATCAAAAGTAGAAATTTTTGTTCATCAAAGGACATTATGAACAAAGTGAAGTGACAACATACAGAATGGGAGAAATATGTGCATTTCATATATCTGATATGGATCCAGTATCCAGAATATATAAAGAACTCTTAGAACTCAACAACAAAAGCATGAACAACTCAATTTAAAAATGAGCAGAGAAAGGACTGGAACAGACATTCCTATAAAGAAGATACATGACTACGAGCGTATGAGAAGATAATCAACATCACAGCCATTAAATAAATGAAAATCAAATCCACAATAAGACACCACTTCACACTTGCTAGGGTGACTCATTAGAACGATAACAAGTGATGGCAAGGAGGTGGAGAAATAGAAACGCTTGGACATTGCTACACTGCTGGTGACAATATTAAATGGTACAGCATCTGCAGAACACAGTGGGAAGTTCTTCTAAAGGTTAAACTTAGAATTCTGCTTCTTTGTATATATCCAAGATAAATGAAAGCAAATGTCCACATAGAAACTTACATATGAATGTTTGTAGTGGCATTATTCATCATAACCAAAAAGATGGAGACAACACAAATGCCCATCAGCAAGTGAATGGATACACAAATTGTGGGGTATCCACACAATAGAATATTATTCAGCCATAAAGAGGAAAGAAATATTCATACATGCTACAACTTGAATAAACCTCAAATATATTATGCTAAGTGAAATAAGGCAGACATGAAAGGTCACCCATTGTATGATTTCTTTTACAGGAAATATCTGAAATAGGCAAACCCATGGAGAAGAAAGTGATTGGTGGTGGCCGGGCTGGGACAGGGGATCAAGGGCAGTGATCGCTCGGGTAGGAGGTGTTTAAAAACAGTTCTGAAGCCAGATAGAGGTAGTGCTTGCACAACCTTGCGAATGCCCTAAATGCCACTGAACCGTACACTTTAAAATGGTTAATTGGTTGTCACATGAATTTCACGTCAATAAAAATTTATATATGTAATAAAAGTATAGTACAAGTAAAGGGTGCTTTGTCATGTTGAAAGATAAAATATTAAATAGTTCAGGTTTATCAATTCTCCTTTGGTTTTCATATATGTTATTTTATATATATTGGGTATGTGTTCAACATTTTGAGTGATAGAGATATATAATTAAAAAATTAGGTAATACTGGTTTAGTTCCAGGGTAAAAATCTAGAACATGGAGCGTGACTCTGACCCACAGAAAAACTTTGTATACCTTGGCTGAATAATATTTTCAAACTTATTTTCAATGCCTTTATGCAAGGTATGCATTTTCCAGTTCAACATAATTCCTTCATTCCCCAGAATTTTATATCTTTTGTGATCCAAACATTACTGTTTCATACCCAGCAATGATCAAATTTAAATTTTCAACTCCTCTGCTAGGGTTTACGTGTATCTAAGACCGTTTTACAACAGCCCTTCTTCTGTTCATTAATATTAGAGATGAAGAGAAAGCATGCTAGACTTACCCACACAAGGCAGGGAGTAGCCCAGGTGAGGGTCGTGAACAAACTGCCGATCATTCAGTCTCGTCACACAGTATAAGTGGAAACAGTCTAAGCAAATCACATGGCGGGAGTTGCACTGGAAAACCAGGACGGGGCTCCTGCAGAGAGAAAGGAAGATGTTTCCTCTAGTACCTGCCAGTGTGGAAAAGCAGCACGTGCTTTAGAACAATTTCTGTAATCCTATAGGGTTGTGTAGAGTGTGCTCTGTGCAAAGACTGGAGCTACTAAGCACTGAGTTCATACATACCAACACTATATTTTAAAAATTGGAGGTGCTCAATGAACTACATAGAACACTGATTCTAATTTTATATATTTTATGTTAACACATTTTTCACCCTTTTTATTAAACCGGAGCTAAAACATAATCTCTTTCTGGAAGTCTTCCCTGACTCAGGATTTCCAAATAGCCTATCAAATCCACCTGTATAGATTTCTATTGATCTGTGATTACATCATAGTATTGAAATCTTCTCCTCTCTTTATAGACTGTGATCTCCTTGAAAGTAGATCCTATGTTTCTATTGATATTCTAGATATTCATAATACATTGTACCGTTTTAAATGAATGTCTTTAAAATTTAGATCTTTAAAAATTTTTAAAGATTTTTTTCTACAAAGTATTTTAAGGGAACCCAAAAATTTAGGACTTGTATAGAGCGATTTATTAGTACTCTCATAACCATAATTTGAGAAAATTCAACAGTAGCGTAACAGATTTTCAAAATTCTGTTATCCCACTTATTTTAAAGCAATGTGTAATACAAAATGAAGAAAATAAAATTGCCTGGTAATTGAATTATAATTATAGTACAATAATAGAACCTGAATTATCCCACAATCACAAAAAAATTACTATTGCATCAAAGTAAAAATATTAAACATTTTCTCACATTTTACCAGCAAATATAAAAGTAGAATTTAGGGATAAAAGGTTATCCCACAGGGATTCTTCTGCTGCAAGATTTTGTCTATTGTGCCATCTTGAAACCATCCAAATACTCAGTTTCTCAAATTATGGTTATAGTTTTACTAATAAATCAATATATACAAGTCCTAAATGTTTTTGATTCCCTTAAAATACTTTGTAAAAAAAAAATCTTAAAAACCATGTATTTTTACTGGAAAATGAACCACACAAGTTTATGTTAAACAGGAGACAAGCTGAATATATTAACTTGAAATTGGCCCAAAGGGGATTTTAATAGAAAGTTATTGGAGTCTATTTAGATAAGCCTATTTCCTATGTAATTATAGCAGAATACAAATAAGCATGTTCATTTCATACCCAGTCCTTAACAGATATAAGAGCTCTTCAAAAGCCCCTTTACCAGAAAATTAATACTATAAAAGATAATTTCTTAACACCTGAAAGATTTTCAAAATTCTGTTATCCCACCTATTTCAAAGCAATCTGTAATATAAAACAAAGAAAATAAAATTCCTTGGTATTTTAATGCTGTGGATCTGTAAGTCATCAGTCAGCTTAATCCGAGCAAGAGTGCCCCTGAATGTGATTAGGTATGCCTTTTCCTTTCCCCACCGATTCAAGTCCTTCCTGGGTCTTCATTCCTATTTCCTGAATCTTAGTCAAGTAGGCACTATCTGTCCTTGGAACTTGCAACTTTTTCCCTCCTAACAAACTTGCCCTTAAAGATAATAAAACATAATGCTTTCCTATTTCTAACCAAAGAGTCATTCACATACACATGCTCAAGTACACACATACTTTTTTCACTTTGTGACCCTCTAAAGTTGCTGTGTTTTACCTTTTTCTCTCACAGCTGTTACGGGAAAAATATTCTCCATCTTGCTTTCAGCACCATGGTAGACTAAAACCTTTATAGACCTCCCAATCTGCTACTAATGCATAGAGAAAATATTAGAACATTTATGAAAATGTGCCTGTATATAACAAAGTTAAAAAAAAAAGCTTAGAAATGATCCTGTAGAGGAGATATAAAGAAAACTTATAGAACCTAAATGGTCAGCCTACGAACTCCTGCCACAGTGGCTCACAAAGTCATGGGGTGCATGGGATGCAGGCATTGGTATAGCTTCTGTATTCTTTGCCATTCTTGTTAGAAAGAGCTCCCTCTCACATGGGTGGACAAAAGCACACTTCTATGGGTTTCCCTTCCATTTTAATATAATCCAGCATGATTTAGACCATCTTGACAATCCATGGAACATCAACTGTCCTACTCTATTAATGACATCCTGCTATTTGGAAAAGATTAACAAAAAACAAGTACTACATTGGTGGCCATGGTGTGAAATCAACCCTGTGTAGCTACAGGAGCCATTCCATTAGGGAACGTTTAGAGGTCCAAGTCTTGGGGCTTGGACTTGGACACCTTCCGAAACATGTCCACCTTCCAAAATAAATAGTCCATCTTACCCGTGACGCAACTGGGAATGAAGCACAGAGAACTGCAGACGCGGTGGGTCCAGAGCTCTAGTTCCCACAGAGTGAAGTGTGTCTTTCTAGGTACACAGGAAGAGTCCAACTGAAAACTAAGCTACAGCCGTACCAGGCCACCTCAATCTCTTTGAACTAAGAATGTCTATGGCAGGAGTCCCCGAACTACGGCCCCCTGAGGCCATTTATCTGGCCCCCCCACCACACTTCAGAAAGGGGCACCTCTTTCGTTGGTGTTCAGTGAGAGGAGCACAGTATGTGGTGGCCCTCCAACGGTCTGAGGGACAGTGAACTGGTCACCTGTGTAAAAAGTTTGGGCACGCCTGGTCTACAGCATGGTTGGCATTGGAAGTGAAGACAGAGTCATGAAATTCCCTTGAAGAAACCCTATCCAGACTCAGGTGTGGAATGCAACCTGGGAAGCTGGAATGTCATGTGTAGTTTTCCGTGTCCTCTTCAGAAAAGAAAGACATTTACAAGGTACAGGGAGTCAAAAATGATAGATGAGTCATTCAGGAATTCTTCTTTGTTTTTTTTTTTTTGGAGTCTCACTCTGTCGCCCAGACTGGAGTGCAGTGGCATGATCTTGGCTCACTGCAATCTCCGCCTACCAGATTCAAGCGATTCTCTGCCTCAGCCTCCCAAGTAGCTGGGATTACAGGCACCTGCCACCATGCACAACTGATTTTCTGCATTTTTAGTAGACATGGGGTTTCACCATCTTGGCCAGGCTGGTCTTGAACTCCCGACCTCGTGATCTACCCACCTCGGCCTCCCAAAGTGCTGACATTACAGGCATGAGCCACCGCGCCCAACCAGGAATTCTTATTGTCTATTACTATCTATACACAGTCAACTTGGATATATACCTATATACAGATATAGATAAATGGTAGACACATACATCAATGGATGAACATATGTGCTGAGATATACAGATGAAGATACAAATATATATGCTATTTTATATATATATATATACACACACACACACACACACAGAGATAATGTCATAAAGGCAGTATATATGTGCATTTCACATAGAATTATCAGTCAGCTGGAATTTTTGATACAGTTATGAGCTAAGATTGTTCATCTCTTATTAAGATATTACTTGCAGTTTTGGGAAGTTAGGTGAGGAGTAAACACGACACCAATAAAGTGGTTATTAATCACCTGAGAAAAGGAGTAAAAAATCATTTCATGGCTAGAAGGCCCACATTATTAACTTCATAAGTGCTGAATCAAAGATGCGGGGAAAGCTAGTGCTTATGGGCAACTACTTTGGTTAGGTGGCTTGCTAGGAACCTCAGAGACTATCTTTCATTTATCCTCCTAAAATGAACTGCCCTTCCTGTTCTGTCTACCCTGTTCTCTCTGCAGCTCCGTCCCCTCCAGGTGGGAAGGTCCTTGCGGAGCCTAGGAGTCTTCTAGTTCCTGTACACCTAGGTGCGTGCTCTTTGCCATCTATTCCCATGGTAATACTCACCTACAGATTCAGAGCCAAATCCCAAGTTTCTAGATCCAGTTCAAGACTAACAATCTCCAAGGAACTTGCTCTGGAGCCTGACACTTCACTGCTTTTTCTCTTTTTCTTTATCTTTCTACAGTACTTATTCAGAGTTCATCCTTAACGTACTTCAATACTGGCCTTTTGTTTAAAGGGTTTCATATACTCCCACCTTAGTTATCAACATTAAATGAAAAGTAATGAAATGGTAGAGACTCTACTTGCTTAACCCTTTCATGAGCCATGCCTCAACAAATACAGTGTTGAGTACATGACAGTTTTGTAATCAAGAGTTATTGATTATTCTAGTGGATAAATGAATGGGTCACTATTTTCATAGTTTTTTACACTTACAGTTTCTCTGCTCTCATTCTCACATTGTTCACTAAATTTTTTATTGGGCATCTACTTTGGCTAAAGTAGGCACTTAGTAAATACTTGTGGACTACAGCACCCAGTGAATGGATAAATACTTCATAGTTATACTTGGTTTATACAATCACAGGGTGTAGTTGAGAAACAGAAGATTCCCATGGAACAAGTATTACAGGAAGTATCTGTAGTCCCCAAACTCTGGGAGCATGGAAGTTAGGAAAAGATAATTATTGAGTCAGGATGGATCCATGAGGGAACATGAACTGAATTTAAAGGAATGGGAGGTCACTGGGAAAAAAACCAGTTTCTCAGCAGGAAGGAATCACAGACATGCAGAAGTATACTGGCAGCAGAAGAGCAACCAGGTGGGCTGATGGAAAAGATTTATCAGGAAAAGGACAGGGGACAAGATGAAAGGGATTGAGGACAGACAGCAGATTCTGGCCAGGGATCAGGGCTGACTCTAGGAGATGAACCTGGCATAAGGCCTCCAGACTGTGGGATTCACTGAAGGTTTCTGCTATGGTCTGAATGTTTGTGTCCCCTCAAAATTTATTTGTTAAAAATCTTATCTCCAAAGTGATGGCATTAGAACAGGGGTCCTTTAGGAAGTGAATGGTATGAGAGAAGGGCCCTCATGAATGGAATTAGTGCCCTCTTAAAGAGACCCCAGAAAGCTCCCACACACGTCTGCCATGTGAGGACACAGTAAGAAGGCACCATCCATGAACCCAGAAGCGGGGCTCTCACCAGACACTGGGTCTGCCACTGCCTTGATCTTGGACTTCCCA